AAAATTTATTATCTACGAAATAACATATATATTATATATTTTTTAATTAAATTATAATATAATTAAATATCAAATAATTATAATTATAGGTTCCTATGCACGGCCGTGCACAAGACTCCTGAACTTTTCGAATTTAAATAATAATAAAAAAAATTGTAACATGTCAGCAATTATCGGACAGAAAAAAATTGGGTGAATTCCGCGCCACTTTCCAAAACTACATAATCGACCTCCTGTGAAGAAACATACCCGTGATGTTTTTGTTAGTATATAGTATATCTTATTGCATATTTGTGATACATTGATATTGTCCATATTGTCCTTATTTATAGACACATATATATATATGTTGATTTTTTGAACAAAAATAAAAATAATATGGTATCAGAATAAAAATAAATTATTTTTTTCATTTGCGACCGCCGCCGCCATTGGCGTCGCCTCATCGAGACGAGCCGGAGCCCAAAATTTTCCAATCTTTGGTGGCATATCCGGCGTTATTTCGCCGGAAATCCGATTCGCCTATTTGCCACCGCATCTTCGTTTTTGTTGTTGTTTGGCCGCCGCCGGAGGTCACCGGCCCCACCATTCACTCGCCTCGTCGGGATAAACCGGCACCCTGAATTTCACGGCCGCCCTGGAGCATCAAGCCTCCTCCGGCTGCCATTTTCTGTGCCTGGCATTGTGTTTCTATTTTTGGTATCATCGTGTGGTCAAATTTTAATTTCGAACATATTTTAATATTGTGTTCTTTGTGTGTTATTTTGTTTTGGAATTTTGAATTGATTGCACGTTTTGGGGGTGAATTAATCTTTGTTATCTTTAGAGTTTTATTATGGAGCATACCGTTTTATCTGTTGTAGTTTCCGTCACATATGTCCCGCATTCTGCTATGGCTTCGCCAAGGTTCTTTCAGTCAATTTTAATGCTCATATATATGTAGATAATACCCGTTGGTATATTGATTTTGTCTGTTGTAATCATATGAATTTTAATTTTAAACTTATGTGTTCTCCTTCTCCTATTATTGATTTATCTCCTACACACACTGCTAATGACTCTCGTATGCATATAACCTGCACCGGTGATATTTCAAAATCACTTTTTTTTTTTTTTTTTTTTTTTTTTTATCTCTTGCTGACATTTATCGAATTCCTCAATTAATTGACCATCGCAACGCTAGAATGACTTTCGACATAAGACATCACCACAAATTCCAATAACGAGGTCAATGAGAGCTTTTCACAACCACACCGATCATCGAAGGCTTTCTACACCACATCACCGCAAATTCCAATCACAAGGTCAATGAAGGCTTCCCATAATCAAACCTGTTAACAAGGGCTTCTCATAACCACACCATCGAATATTCCAATCACGAGGTCAATGAGGGCTTCCCACAACTACAACCATCGAAAATTCCAATTACGAGGTCAACAAGGGCTTCTTACAACTACAATCAGTGCTCAATGTTGTCATCCAGTCGACTCCACCAACAAACTTTTTCGAACCAGGCTCTGATTCCAATTGTTAGAACTAGGTCAACTTAACACTAGTATGATATTGTTCTCTTTGAACTAAACTTGTACGGATTTGTTCTTGAATGTCTTTAAAAAAAATTTCATAATAGTGGAGTTCATGTTGTTAGATTTTTCTTCAAATCCTCCGCTCAAACCATGAATCATATAAGCTATGGGCCTCCCCTCCAGTGATATTTCGATCCGCCTATCTTGCATTGTCTTTAACAAAGGGACTGACAGTTTGACCACATTTTTCAGGTTCACCAACCGACTGCAGATTCCACTCACAAGGTTAACAAGGACTTTCCACAACTACAACAAATGTTTGTGCTGTCATCTAGTCAATTCCACCAACAAACTTCTTCAAACTATACTCTAATATCAGTTGTTAGGACTGAACCAACTCAACACTTGTATAATATTGTTCACTTTCAACCGAGCCCATACAAATTTATTTTTTAACTTCCTACAAAAGGCCTCGTACTAGTAAGATTTACGTAAATCTTATAATGTGTAGATATTTTTTCCTTTAAATCTTTCAATGTAGTACTTTGGGTTTTTACACTCTCATTATAGATAACATATAAAGATATAACGGACAATATATGTTGTATAAAATATTAACACGTAAATTTATATATAATGTAATATCCAACATATATTATTGTGACACCAGCATTAGTCAAATACAAATATTTATTCAATATTTACTTTTATTTTGTTAATTTTTTCAAGGCAACCGAAATTTCTAAGAAGTGTGTGTTGGTAATTTTTTTTTTTTTTTTGGATAATGTGGTAAACCCCCGGCCGAACCTAATACCTTACAAACCAGGCCTGACGGGAAAGTCACACTAGGCGAACCATGTGTGGCAAGTGACCTGAGGCGTCGGGGGTTTGAACCCATGACCTCACGGTCACACGTCCAACCCCCGGCCATCCCGTGTGTGTTGGTAATTTTAATTTTATCTAGTTTAGTTGTGTCGTAAGTACCAAGTAAAACCAACAAATATTCTTTTTTGGGAAAAAATTATTTTTAGTCCCAATATAATCAAAATTCAATCAATTTTGGTCATAATATAAAAATTTTATCATTTTTTGTCCCAATATAACCCAAACTCATCATTTTCTGTCCCAATATAAAATTTTTATCAATTTTAATCACAATATAACCAAAACTCATCATTTTTTGTCCTAATATAATTAAACTTTATCTTTTTTTGTCTCACCGTCAACAAACTGACGGAAAATGTTAACGTGAAAACAAATCAAACTTTATATTTATATTCGAAGAAATTGCACAATCTTGCAAGTCTACGTCAGCATTTTCCGTCGATTTGTTGACGGTAGGGCCAAAAAAGATAATGTTTGTTTATATTATGATAAAAAATGATGAGTTTTGGTTATATTAGGACTAAAATTGATAAAAGTTTTATATTGGAACAAAAAATGATGAGTTTTAGTTATATTGAGACCAAAATTGATAAGATTTTTATATTGAAATCAAAATTGATAAATTTTGGTTATATTTGAACCAAAAATAATTTTTTTTTTTTTTTTCTTACACGTAAAGACAAATCTAACTACACTAGCATTCACTCACTCACTCAATACTATCATCATCATCATCTTCATCTTCCCTAACCTCTCGGCCATGGTGGGGTTATGCTTATGCTTATGGTTATGGAGGTAGAGGCAGCTAGCCCCCACCACTAACCACTATGCAGCAACCCATTCATTACTATTACCATTACCCACCCACCCATCACCCAATCCATTTTTTCTAACAGTAATATTTTATCCGTTTGTTTTTTCTTTTATTATTATTATTATTTTTTATTTTATTTTATTATACTATTTTATCAAAAATATATATATCTATAAATTAAAAACTAATACTCCCTCCGTCTTAATTCAATAGTCTTGTTTATCATTTTTCCTTGTCTCAAAACAATAGTCTTATTTCAATAAATAATTATATCACCATCAAACTACTCCTATGTTTTTATTTTTATTACACAATTGTCACTACTTTTTACACTAATACACTCATAAGGATAAAAAAAAGTCTTTTATTCATACTTTTTACCAACTATCATCTCGTGTCCAACCTAAATAAGACTATACTTCTGGGACGGAGGGAGTAATATTTTAAGATTAAAATAATACAATAAAAAATACCCCCTCTGTCCTACTTCTCATATCCACCTTTCAATTTCTGTTCATTTTACTTATTTTGTCACTTTTTTTAAAAAAAGAATTATACTCTTTAATTTTATTTTTTAAAAATTTAATTTATATTTTTAAAATTTTAATTATACTAATCAATTATGTTAATCTTAATTTATAATTATTTTTATTATAGGATTATTATTTTCACTAATACATTATTAATAATATACTAATTATACCCATTCTAAATTTCCGTGTCTACAGTAAACCGGATAAAATATCCGAGACAGAGGGAGTATAAATTAATAATTATTTATTAAAATAAAATTATTAGAATTATAGATAAATAAAATTAATAAATAAATTTAACAGACAAAAGAATTGATATAAATATCCTGATGAAGGAAAAATAAATACTTAGCTTAGACATGGAATTTTAGGTATTATGTAATTAGTAAGTAATTAAGAAGTGTATTAGTGAAAATAATTATGATTTAATAAAAATAATTTTAGATTAAGATTAAAATTAAATTAAGATGACTAAATAATTTAATTAAAAAAATTACTCTCTATGTCCCGGAAGAGATGTTTTGTTGAGGGTTAAAAAAAATATTAAAGAATAATAGTATTTAATTGAAAGTGAATATAGAGTATAATTTAAAAGACTAAAATGCACTTGTTTTTTTTAAGATTTAAAAAAGTATGTTAAAATAATAATTAGGGATAATTTAAAAAAATAAAAATAATTTTATTATAAAATGGGGATTACTATTACTAAATAATAAAACCAAACAATTAATTCGGGATGAATGAAAATAGAAAAACAAGTCAACTGTTTTGGAATAGATGTAATATAAATTATGAATTTAATATGTGGTCAATTGTATAATTGTATTTTCAAAAAATAAAATGAGAAATTAGTGAGACGGACGAAAATAAAAATAATAGAGAAATGAAATGAAATGAAATTAAGAAAGTAATTATTCGACAATATCCCTATCCCGGCACGTGCGCAGCACCCTGCCTCCTTCCATTCCCTTTCCTTCCTGTCCATGGCTGCATCGGATTTAATTATTATTATTATTATTGTAAATTAGATGATATGATAGCAGTGTATGCGTGCGCTTTGCTTTCCATTTTTGGGGAAGCCAACACCAACACACCTCTAGTAATAATTAGTAATCTTCACCAATTATTTACAAAAATAAAATACGATGTACTCCATTTCTATAATACTAACTTTTTCTTCTTCTTCTTTATCGTCTCTGTGTATACAAAATGTGTAATAATAGAATACAGCTGTGTTTAATCTGTGCTCAGATATTGTGTTTGTTTGAAAAAAGAAAAAAGACAAAAGACAAAGCAACCAGACACACTACTGGCTTCGATTGACATTAAAAAGAAGAGAAAAGAGATAGAGAGAATCTTCATTGCCTTTTAGCAGCTGCAGGTTTAACAGCTATTACGAATTTGATGACGAAGCAGACGACGACCGGCTTACCGACTCAGCCAGTTTCCCGATTCTCTCCACCAGCTGAGGCGACAGCTGCTTCACCGGTTTCTTCTCGGTTTCCGGTCGGAAATCAAACCCTAACGCGTCGGATACCTCCTCGGAGCTCCACCCAGCTTTTCGTAGCGTATCCGAAAACCGATCCGCTTTCAGAAGCAACGCGTCGTGCACTGATTGGCTATCCAACATGACCATTTCACCCTCGAAGAATCCTGCGGCTGACACGTGTACGATCTCCGATACGTCGAATTCCGCCCACCCGCTCTCCCTCAGAACCGACCCGATTTGGGTAACGTACTCGTCGACCCATTTAGGCGGTTCGGATCTGGGTATGCCCGGCCGCCTGTCGGGCGAAGACGACGACGATTCCGACGAATTCGAGCTCCTCCGGCGGCGATCGAACGCCGCGTCGCTCCAGAACTCCACCCACCGCGGCGGCGTCCGCCGCCCGCCGTCTAAACTCCTCCTCGAAAAATCCGCCGACGACCCGACCGAATTCGCGCTGATGGACCGCTGGATCCTCGGGTCGGAGCCTCGGTGAAAAAGGGCAAACTGACGATCGAAAAAATCCGACAAATCGTAGCCGCAGCAGAAGATTCTGTTCTCGTCGACGTAGAAAATCGGGTTTCCGGCGAGACAAGGATTGCAAGGAATATAACAATGGTTGAAAACAGGGATTAGCAGCGGGGCCCGTTTAAGAGCATTCCGGGCTATTTTCAGGGCCTTCTCCGGGCTCTCGGGCCTCGGGCCCCACGGCTTAGACCAGAGATCGTTCCGGGCGATGTGGAAGGAAGTCGAAGCCGTGGGGAGATCAATCGCGGCGCGGAGCTGGAGCCGAGCCGAGCCAGCCGAGCGCCAGTCAGGGAAGCCGGCGCCGACGGGCAAACCCGCCGACAATACGGCTTTCAAATCCGGCGGAAAGGCGAAGCCGAACTCCGCCTCGGCTAACGCGAACTCCGATTCCGACAACCCCGGCAGGACTCCGACGCCGGAATTTTTGAGACTTGTAATAACCTTGTCGGCGAGGGAGTTGAAGGACAGGAGACTGGTCCGCGGCGGCGGCGGCGGCGTTAGGGGGAGAGACGAAGCCGCCCTGGCGGAGAGGCGGCGGAGGCCGGCCAGGTGGGCCGGGTTCAGACCGGACATTCTCCGGTCGACGTCGACCATTGTAGGAGTAATGATATTAAAGAAACCTCGGAGGAGTGAAAGAGAGGCGATCGAACAAAATATTTTTGGGAGAATAAGGTTTTGTTTTGTATTGAGCGTGTGGGAAAGGGAAAGGGAAAGGGAAAGTGGAGATGTGGCAGTGAAGGAAACGCAGAAATGAAATTTTTAGTGGAAAACAGAGTATGAATAGGGCAGCGATTTATAGGAGGCAGGAAAGCAAAGGATCGGATTGATTTGGGTCCCACTTTTTTTTAGATTCCAATCTATTTTCAGATTTTTTTTCTTACTTCCAAGAAATGGATGATCGTATCACTTTTAAGACAAATAGCTGGGCGTTAACTTTTATTTAAATTATAAATATATAATTATATATACAATAGTTTTATACATAAAATTAAAATTAAATGACAAAAATATCAAAATAATTTTATATATTTTTATCGAACAGTAAATTAAAAAATAATAGTATTTTATTATCTAGTGAAAATGTATAAAAATTCTTTAATATTTTTGTATATATAAAGTAATTATATATTTAAAATTTAAATAAAAATTAAATACATTTCAATATATTAGTATAATATTATTTTTTTTTTTAAAAAAAAAAAATGATACTTTTAAATGAAAAATAGATAAATGATAACAAATGTGCTAAATGATGGAGTATATTTTTTGCTTTAATAAAAAATATTATTATATTTTACACAATATTATAAATAATGCATTAAAAAGTAAATAAATTTTAAAATAATTTATTTTATTTTATTATTATTATTATTTTTTTATCATTCTATTGTGTACTATTACATATAAAATACTAATATACCAAATTACAAATGGAAAAAAACATATTAAACTATATAAGAGCATATCCGTGATTCTGTCTATGATTAGTAAATTTTTAAGTCATTCAATAAATAAAAGATAAAAGATCAACCGCTTTATATTATAATTCATACATATTTCTAATACTCCATTCATCCCATAACAAAGTATCTATTTTTTTCATTTTAGTCCGTCTCATAACAAAGTATCCATTTTCTTTTTTAATAATTGTACTAACTATTTAATATTACAAATACCCTTACAACTTACAATATATTACACAAATGTCATCACTTTTATATCACACATACTAATAAGATTATTTTAGTCATTTCTATTTTATTTCTACTATATCCCAATATAATACTAATATTTCTAAAACTATATGCAAAAAAGCAAATGAATATTTAATTACTGGAAGGAGAAAGTATAATATTTTTTTAAAAAATAAAATTATTTTATTAAGTTAAAGATTTTAAATATTATATTATATCGTTATTATTTTTTTAAAAAAATGATTAATTATTTAAGTAATGATAGTGCTGTCTTCATCCGCAACACCTCATCGGTTACCTTAAATATGGCAATATCTCAATCTTACATAATTAAATGAATGATTCGAAAATAATAAATGAAGCTAAAAACAAATGTGTGTGTGTTTTTTCTTTTTTTGGTTTTTATTTAATCTTACATTATTACGCATCATTATAATTTTTTATTTTTTATTTTTTATTTATTTTTATGACTTGGCAATCCGCAGTCGTTGTATCCTACAAAAATATTAAATATAAAATGTGAGGAACTCCTTTATATTTCAAAATATTATATATCAATTTAAATTTTACAATACTTTGAAAGATACTATAAAATAAAAATTACTTCATTGTTACTATAATGAAGATAATTATTAAATAGTAGTATAATATTTTAAAGAAATATAAATAATAATAAGTTTGTTCTTTTAATATTTTAAATCAAATCAATATTGTTCCTACACAATTTTTAATAAAAATATATTATTATTTTTACAATATATTATATTAAAATATTATTTAAATAAAAATTAAAATCAACATTTTATTTTAAATCAATTTCGGACCATAATATTTTGAGAGAAACAAAATTAATTAATTATATAATGTAAAACTAAGTGTATAATTGCTAGGAAACAAACCCGCCGGGTTTCGAGGAAAATATTTATACAAAAAAATCATAATTTACCTTAAAATGAATTATAATTTAAAATATTTATGATAAGAAATAATAATCTTATTGATATTCATATTAAGATAAAAAAATAATTTTACAATGTAATAACAGGTTTATTTATTCACTCTGGGATGGAACAATTTCTATAAATATTATTTTAAAAAATAAAGAGAGTATTTGACAAAGAGTTTTTTGAAAATTTTTTAACTTATCAAAGAACTTTTAGTTTATTGAATCGTTTTTAGCTGTTTAACCAGTCAAATAATTAATTTAGGTGTTTGGTAAATTAGTTTTCTGAAATAGCTTTTTGGACCCAAAAAGCTAATTTCTGAAAAACTAACTTACCCAGCGTTTTGAAATAGTTTTTTTAATTTAAATTTTTTTATTCCTCATATGTCCTTAAAAGTTTATTATGCATTTTACACAAATAAATATATTTTGATTATTTATTAATTATATTAGAATATTTTATTATATTATTATATTTACTTTTATAAATTTAAAATAATTAATTTATATATAAAAATTATTTTAATTATAAAATATATAAATTTATTGAAATCAACACAAAATAAAAAATATAAATATTAATAATTTATTTTTATATTAAAATTACATTATATAAATTTTATACGAAAACTAAATTAAATAGATTAAACTTAGTGGAAATTATAAATATAACGAACTAATCGATAATTAACATAATAAATATATATACACAAAAAATTTATTATTTTATATTTTACATCATTTTCAATAGAAAAAACTATTTATATTTTCAATAAAAATATATTATTTTTTAAATCTAACTATAGTAAAAATAAATATTATTTTATAATACTTTTACAATTATATTTTTATAGTAAAAATATAACATTATTTTATAATCTAACTATTTATATAATATTATTTTATAATACTTTTATAGTAAAAATATTATTATATTTTTCAATAAATATTATTTTTTCAATAACTAATAATAAAAAAAAACTGTCAAATATTCTAAACTCAAAAGAATAGAATTGAATATATTAAAAAAAATAATAAAATAGAAATATCCTCAATTGTCATTTTACGTATAAACAACTAATATCAAACAGTTATTTTACCAGACATTTTAATAAAAACAGCTAATCGAATCAGCTAGTTAAACCAGCTAATTGAATCAGTTAATTGCCAAACATGCCCAAAATACATCCAAATTAACATATATAATATATATAATGGAGTACTATATTTTATTCACTTACAAAATTTAATAATTCAAAACAAAACATTAATTTTTTTATACTATCAATATAATTTTTTATATTTAAAATGAAAAATATATCCATAAAACATACAAAGTGAACAAACCCGACATATACTATCATTTTAATCATATAAAAGATATTGTGCGTTCTATTTTAGGAATTGCACTATCTACCTAATATTACATATATCTTTTCAATATAAAATATATTACACAAATGACATTACTTTTTTTTTATATATATACATTTCACTAAAAAATATTTTTTTATATTATAATAACAAAAATTATACACATTAATACTAAAATATTTTTAATTTTTACATAAATTACAAATATATTATTATTTATACATAAAGTGCAAAAGACAAAAATGTTAAAATTATTTTATAAGTTTCTATTAGATAATAAAATATTACCCCTCCGTCCCAGAAAAATTGTCAAGGTTAGTGTAGACACGAAAATTTAGGTAAAATATAATTAGTAAGTAATTAAAAAGTGTATCAGTAAAAAAAATTATTCTATAATAAAATAATTATAAATTAAGAGTTAGATAATCAAATTGTTTAATTAAAATTAAATTTTTTTATAAATTGTGAAATTTAAAATATGATTAAAGTATATAATTATTGTTGAGCACAAAATAATGGATATGTTTTTAGGAAATGGGCCTGCCAAGATTAGGTCATTCGAAACGTCCAATGGGCTTTTTGAAAGTCCAAATATGATTGCAGTAACCGGGTCGGATGAGTTTTGAGTCTGATCAAACCTGGTCGGGTAAATTCCCAAGGTCGGACAGATGAGGAGATTGAACCTGGTCGGGACCAAATAGTTCGGACGTCAAAGTCGGACCTAGTCAGGTCAAAGTCCGAGGGTCGGATTTAAGAAAGTTGGACGGTTGATAAGATTGGACCTGGTCGGGACCAAATAGTTCGGATAGAGAAGTCGGACCTAGTCGGGACAAATTTCAAGGGTCGGACATAATAAAGTTAGGTATTAAAAGTAGTTATCCTATAGGTCGGGTAAAATGCAGTTTTTGGTAGTGGGGGGTAGTTTCGACTGGTGAGCGGTTTTTAAAGTCGGACGTGACATGACGGTTCTCATACGTGTCGATAGAAGAGAATTTTTTGGGGAGTTAACAGCGGTTATGGTAACCGACCGGATAGCGGTTCGAACCTTATCTTCAAGGGGTTATTTAAAGATTTTGTACGGTATAGAGAGGGCATCTTCAATCGACATCAAATTCAAGAAAATCGCTTTTGGGGATCACCACTTTATTTTCCAGTCTTTATTTTATTCTTATTTCATTCTACAGTGTTTAAAAGTTTCTAATTTCAGACATTCATCTATCAAATTCGGGAATATTTCTCTATTTTCGAATTTTACTTTTTATTGTTGAAAAAACGCATCAACAATTATATTTTAAAAAAACAAAAAATGACAAATTATATGGGACAGATGAAAATAGAAAAACTGGACACTTTATGTGGGATGAAGAGAGTATTTTTTTTAATTAAATATACATTCAAATTAATACTTTAGGGGCATATGGAGTATATACGATACTTCCTCTATCCCATAAGAATGATACTATTTTTTTTTATCCGTTCTAAAAAATATATCATTTTCTAATTTACTAATTATACTATCTATGTAACATAATTAATATTCTTACAACTTCTAATATATTATACAAATAACAATTACTATTATATTACACAATCTAATATGAGTATTTTTATCTCTTTTACTATAAACTAATATAATACTAATATTAAAAAAATCTACGTGCAAAAAATAAATAGTACTCCATCCGTCCCAATACAATAGTCTTGTTTACCATTTTTGTCCGTCCCAAAAAAATAGTCTTATTTCCATAAATAACTATA